GGGAAAGGGGAAAATGAGGGTGCTGGATGGGGATTGTGGTAAAAGGAAAATTTTGTCTTAACTGTATTTTTAAAATTTTTAATAAAAGGCATGCATTAATATGTCACTATGTAATTAAAAATTTATATCAATTTTATTAAAAATAAAAGAAAGAGACTTTATAGATCATAGCATGTACAATTTCTGGCATGCTTTGAGATGGTAGATTTTGTTCTTATCATTTTGTAATGCTAATGCAATATTGATTCCCAAGCACTACTGAAGCACACTGTCAAAACATGGAGTGCAATTCAGAGAAGAAGCCATTTTAAAGCTGAAGTGTGTCCTGGCATGTTCAGGAAAGCTATGCTCTAAAGTCCATCTCCTAGACTCTCAAAACATTCAGAAGAGATAGGGCAACCACTATCTTTTCTCTGTCTTTGTCTGTCTCTCTGTCTTGCACTCTCTCTCTCTCTCTCGTTAAATTTAATTTATTTTTTAAAATTTTTCAACCACTTCTCCTCACCTTAAACCTCCTCACTTGCTAATACCAGAAGCCATTTTAAAGCTGAAGTGTGTCCTGGTGCTAGCATGCTGCACAGTTTTCATTTTTTACTTGGAAAAAAAGAATTTTTTCTCCTCCTTTTTGGTAGCATTTTCTAGTTCTTTTTCCTTTTGTTTATTTTTTTAACCATATTTCCTCACTTTAAGCTTCACTCTCCACACACTGAATTTCTAGATAGGTCTAGGTGCACAGCAGCCAAGCATCTGAATACTTTTAGAGTCATTGAAATCCTCACTGCTTATTGAATCTCCTGCTTTAATGAAGAAATTTCTTTTTCTAAATCTGAACTCCTAATCTTTCTGTGGATGCTACATTGTGAAGCACAGTGGGGGATAGATTTTGTCACAGAATGACCAGGAACAACTACAGAGGCACAAGAAACACGAGAAATTGAAAAAAATATCTCTCCCATAAGGGAAAAGAACAATCCCTCATCATCCACAGACAGTACAGTAGAACTCATGGAAATGTCTGATAGAGACTTCAGAATATTCATAGTGACAAAACTAAAAGAGATGCAAGAGCTAAGAGATAATGAACCCCAGAAGATGCATAGAAAAGAGACAATGAGTTCCAGGAGGTGTTGAAGTTCTTCCATGATCTGAAAGAGGAACTAGACACCATAAAAAAATAATCAGATGGAACTGTTAGAGGTAAAGGCTGCCCTTCAGGAAATCAAAACCTCCCTTGAAAGTATTAAAAGTAGATTAGCCCATGCAGAAAATTGAATCTCGGATGTTGAAGGCAAAGCCTCTGATCTAGAAAAATACAGTTAAAAAAACTGTGAAGATAACCCCCCTCCCCCCAAAATGAGAATACTATACAAGAAATACTAGACAGCATTAAATGCCCAAACATCTGGATAATTGGTATCCCAGAAGGTGAGGAAACTAATAAGGGCATTGATAATATATTCCATGAAATCTTAGAAGAAAATTTTCCAAATCTAGAAAGGCATTCAAATATCCAGACCCAAGAAATACAAAGGACCCCCAAGAAAATGACCTATTTAATGGTAGGGACAAGAAATATCAATAATAATGTTGAATGTTAATTCTCAGGATTTAAACGGAAAGATTGGACCACAGTAACACTACATATTCAACAGAAGAGAGTTTGAACATAAGACTGAAATAATGAAATAGAATTTTATGACTTTTGAGTAAAACATTACTGATTTCTTTTTTGTATATTATATTTTGGTTTCCCAATTTAAACATTTTACCTTCTTTTGAGTTGTTGATAGGTTCAGCAATTTGTTAAATTTTTCGTTTGTTTCTTTAAATGGAAACATAAACTTTCTCCCTTCTTGACCCCTCTTGAATTGGAAATATTTGGAAGTATTCTTATTTTGTGCAGAAGGATTATTTGCATAAGTTCAATAATGCTTGTTACGTTGAATGAAATACTTTTTACTGGACAGGGATTTGACTGGACATGTCACACCTGAAGATTAATCAGAAAACTATGGAACTGAGGTAGATATCAAGTAAGCCAACAGAAGCTCTTAGAAAGATGGCCTGGCATCATAAATAGTTCTGCCTGGCAGAGAGGATTAGAGAAGATATATGAAAGAATTTGTAACATAAAATAACCTGGACTTTTCCAGCCCAGCATTGTAAACAGTAGGGATTACAAAAGAGCAACCACAGGAGAGGATTATCTTGAGAAAGACTGTGAAGGAAGAAAAAGAGACTGATCTTTACTAGCAGATGGTATATCACAGAATACTTGGTTGGCAGGGCTGAATTGAGAAGGTTTACGCGTGACTAGTGTGCTGGACATTTGCTTTTCAACAATTTGACATGTAAATATTGTCTCAAAAATATTTAAAACCATACTGTCTCTGTTGTTATAGAGTCACAAAAGTATACACAATTATAAGAAATAT